TCCCGCTTCCATATGTAAAGCGCTTTGAGTGCTGAGAAAAGCACTATATAAATGAAACAAATTATTTTAATTCTTGCCTGAACTAACTTGTTCAATGTAGAAATTGCATTTGTTTTTTTTCTGTAGAATTAACTTCACCACAGAATCATTTTTATCAGTGTACATTAAATTTAATAAACAAAATAAGGAACATTGTAGCATTTTGCATAATGCTGTATAATATTGCTGGTTAGACTTAAAGATATGTTTTTTAATGACTCACCCTCATGTCGTCCCAAGCCCGTAACTACATTGTCCACCTTTGTCACAGTAGTCCAATTAATTGGACTAAATCATTTAAGCATGGTACCATAAGAATCTTTAATTCAAGGATAATTTATTGTGTAAACTCATTATTACATCAACCAACTGTGACTTTGATTGTATTTTAAATGTAGAATTACTTTAGTCAAAATGCATTACAATAGATGTATCATGTCAAACAATTCTGTTCAGTGATGTTGGACTTTGGCGTTACTAAACCAAAAAGTAAACTGACAAATATAATGGGCCTTGAGTAAAAAGGATAAAAGTGCAAGACAAAACCATTGTGTGAATACTGGGTTCAACAACAAAGTAATATTTGGGGCAGGGACCAAAATAATAATAAATTCCAGTAAGTTGTTTTGATCTTTTTTCACTAATTGGTCAATATATTCAGTATTCATTTGTCAAGCACATTAAAAGATGGCCGCTCCATAAACGTTGAGGACATTAAAGAGACAGATGTGTATGTGTATCTAAAGTACTTTATAGGATGCACATTTATATAAAAGTTGCACTTTTTATTCTTTATATATCCCTTTAATGTAGAAGAAAAACGTTATAGTTAAGTTGATGTTAAATCTAACATGATGGAGGTTGTCCCTGCTACTCATGGAAGTTATTATCCCACTACTAACCACTGTGTGAATAACAATATTGGTAAAGTATTATTTGGGAAGGGGACACAACTCTATGTACAAGCAAGTGAGTACAACCATTCAAATATTATAATATAATAATAGCATATTATTTATGCAGCATGACAAAAATGTGACTAGGTTTTCATTGACTAAAACTAGACTACAATGCTCAGACATTTTGTCGACTAAAACTTGATTAAACAAAAACAGAACAAGGTTGGCTGTATGATAAATACAAAAAAGTACACTTATACCCTCCACCTACTCCTAAAGTTATCAGATAATCACTTTATTCACACTATTAAATACCTGTTAGGCACTTTATTTCCACTTTTTGCAAACTAGGCTGGTTTTGGAGACTTGAGAAGAGGTTTTGCTCTCTGTGTGTCAGTTTAAATAATTGTGCTGTGCATGTCATTTTAGTGTGTTAGCAATTGGAAAAAACTGTAAAATGTGCCACTGCCATTGTTTTGTTTAAGATGAAATAAGATGCACACCAGTAATATTGTTTTTTAAGGCACATTTATAAAAGCTATTTAAATGCTCTAATTTTACTAAGGCCTAATCCTGGCTTAAGACCTTTCTGTGAAACCGGGCCTAAAAGTGTTTAATGTGCAGTCTTGAGATTTAGAAGAGTTCATGTTGTTCATTTTATGTGGTTACCATTCTGCAGAAGATTGGAGATCGGAAAGAATCGTTTGTGGGTGGCTGCAGTGTAGTAGCTACTGCATGGTGTGTATTGTTTCACTTTATGAGAAATAACTGCGACTATTACATAACCTTATAATTACTTGCTTATTCCATACATATAACTATATTTAGCATGCTGTCATTTTACTAGTACTAGTACTAACTGTCACATTCAAAAATAGTTATTTGGCTTTATTTGATTCAGTGGTTCAGTGGCCAGTGGTTCCACATTGCAAATGTGTTTTCTTAACATAAACCCAGACTAAACACAAATACCTTATAGCAGAAACATAAACGGACATGACAAATTAACTTAACTATTCTCTTTCAGGTTAAAATAAAAATCACAAATCAAGTACTATTTTCAGTTCATCTTGTAAGTGTTTCTTCTATACCTGCATTTCATTTAACGTCATTGCTTTTCATAATGATAGTAACATAAACCACATCATTTAATCTGTTCTCGTTCATTGTAATGCATATGACTTTCATTTTCTGATCTTGATGGATAATCAACATTTACATTACTGCTATGACTTTGTAAAGTATCGCAGTGCTGTTGGGTACCCAGAAAGCTTTGCAACTCAGTGAGTTCTGACCAGTTTTGAGTCTGAATACACCGGGTTTGCAGGTGTGTTCTTTGTTAGTTAAATGTCCAGAATTGTCTGTAGTATTGCATTGTTATGTCACCATTGTTGCGCAGTCTAGCTCCAGTAGTGCCAGCTCGCCTAATTAGCTTATCAGAGGTTTTGTCTGCAAGAGGTCAATTTAAAAAGTCAGTAAATGTATTTAGTAGATACTCATCGCCATATTTTTGTCTTTGTCTCAATATATGAGATTATAATCAACAGTAACATGGGAATTTTCTTTCACCACATAAAGTTCATTAAAAAACGTGAAAGGGCATCACAAATAAAGAAATTTCGGTAACGCTTCCTTTTACAGTACAGTACTTACGTGTACTTACAGTGTACTTACTGGCTAATATAAGGTAAGTACATGGGTTATGGGGTATGTTCAGGGTTAGTACCTAGTTATTACCCAGTAATTGTAATTACTATAATAAGTACATAGTACATGGGTAACAGGACTGTAAAAGGAACAGTTTTCGTTACCGAAATTTCTTGCATGTTCCTCATTTGTATTATTACACACTAAACTATGCCTTAGGTTATTTCCCCTTTAGCAGCCATTTTATTTTTGATGGCAAAGGAGGCAGCCTGTATAGGAATTTAAATAATGGTAGTCTGTATGTTTGATACGTTCATTTTGTAAACACCACAAAACTTCAAAGTTAGTAAATTTGAGAAAGATAATCAGTATTTTCTGGTATTTGGGGATTTACAAGTTTGTAAAAAAAGGAATCATAATTTTTCATCATTGTGCTGATGCTTTTTCCCAAACAAATCAGCATTTTTCTATTGACACACAAAATCCACCATTTCCAATAAACCTATAAGAGTTGAAGTTCATTGCCTTTCTTAATGCAGTTAACACTAGAACGGCCATGACGGTCATTTTGGCCGTTTTGAATTTTATATCTGCAATAACTTTGTTGAAAAAATAAATAAAATCCTGCTGGTACCTGACTTTTCCTAAAAGTGTCAGTATTTTCATTTAAAATGTTTTTCATATAAATTACACATAAGAACATATTTACCTATTTCGGCCATAGATGATCATATTGACCTTGACCGCACTAAATAAGATACCTTTTAGTTGTTATTATCTTGTTCTGAGTTATGTTGAATGGATATGGAAATATAGCCTATCTGTTGTGAATATGCGATAATTACGGTAGGCTATACTAATGATATTATTTATAAATGTATAATTAAACTTATTTAAATGTACAGTTTGGTGTTGTTTTGTTTTTAAAAGATATCCTAATACAATAAATGCATTAATCTCTCAATTGGGTATTTATCATTAAAGATATAGAGTTTGGAATCTAGCGGTCAAAATGACGCTTGTGGCAGTTCTAGTAGTTATGGAATTCTGGCACTTCTAGTGTTAAGAAACTGCTCCCAATTTAAACCAAGTGTCTTTAACTTTAATATACTAACATTTAAATAAATCATTTGATACAATGCACTTATTGTGTACATGCATGTTTTTACATTAGACATTTAAAAAAAATACCTGCATATAATTACAGCTGTAATTAATTTCACTGTTGCACTCTTGATTACATTAAGGAAAGCTAGACACTGCATACTCATTTATTTGTAATTACCGGTACACTGTTGGCCTTACACCTTAACCCACCCTTAAAGGGATACTCCACTTTTTTTGGAAATAGGCTCATTTTACAACTCCCCCAGAGTTAAACTGTTGAGTTTTACCGTTTTTGAATCCATTCAGCCGATCTCCGGTTCTGGTGGTACCACGTTTAGCATAGCTTAGCATACATCATTGAAGTGGACAAGACCATTAGCATTTATAAAAAAAAAAATGACCAAAGAGTTTCGATATTTTTCCTATTTAAAACGTGACTCTTCTGTAGTTACATCGTGCACTAAGACCGACGGAAAATGTAAAGTTGCGATTTTCTAGGCTGATATGGCTAGGAACTATACTCTCATTCCTGCGTAATACTCAAGAAACTTTACTGCCGTACCATGAGTGCAGCAGGCGTAATGATATGACGCAGCGCCTGAAAATAGGCCACCTTCCGTCAACACAACGGAACTATTTTCAGGCGCTGCATCATATCATTACGCCTGCTGCTCTCATGGTACGGCAGTAAAGTTTCTTGAGTATTACGCAGGAATGAGAGTATAGTTCCTAGCCATATCAGCCTAGAAAATCGCAACTTTACATTTTCCGTCAGTCTTAGTGCACGATGTAACTACAGAAGAGTCAAGTTTTAAATAGGAAAAATATCGAAACTCTTTGGTCATTTCTTTTTTTATAAATGCTAATGGTCTTGTCCACTTCAATGATGTATGCTAAGCTATGCTAAAGGTGGTACCACCAGAACTTATGTAAGTACATAGTAGTTAAAGACATCTAATATAAAGTGACCACAAAACTTTAATCCATTCTCATTCGTTGTAATACATTTGATTATCATTTAGTTCATGTGATCTTAATGGTTAATCAAGGTTCCATTAAGTATACCCATACATTTTCATATGGCTGTGTTTATAATAGACAGAAGCCCAGATTTGGTTATTTATGCATTTTATTTTCATATATTTTGCACAATACACAGTCATTATTGAATGAAAGTCTGCCATTGTAGAAGGAAGCACAAATCCACTTAATTGTGGATGTAAATATGTTGCAAAAAATGAAAGCTATATAAACAGAATCTTTAGATGTAATCCAGCTTCAAAGTAATAAAAAAATTAAGTTTTACGAAATAATGTATTTTTACATAATAAATGTAGAAATCATTCAAATAAAGAGAAATTAAACATGAACTACATCTAAGTTGCTAAATTAGAAACAACTAAATGGCGGCATATACGTCTATTGTATCCTAAACTAGAATAGTTGAGCCCATATTATAAAAGCATATAAACACATTACATTCAAATGTGTATACAGTTTATTATTCTTAAAACCATAAGCACTAGAGCATAACTGAGGGAGGTTACATAATCCCTTGATCATCATTTAACAACAACGGTGCAAATCTAATGGCTCTCGAACGTGATGCAACATTTTCTGTTGTCTTCGGTGAAGGCACGGTGATAAATCCAACTGATGAAAAACGACTTGGATTTGTGAGACCTGAAAGACAAATAATAGACCAATTGTAATTCTTCAAACAAAACAGCACATATTTTACAGAGTTTGCTAATGAAATATTGGGTCTCATTCACTAAGGATTGCATACAAGTTGCGTACTTACTGTATGTTTGCAGAAAATATTCTCAGAAAATTTGCAGCAAGATCTTCGAGTAAAGCCATGTGTGCCATTCACAGCCAGTTGACTTGATACTCATTAATTATATTTTATAAAGATCAAAAGCATAGAACCTTTCCCAGTTTGAGCACTATTTTTGTTAAATGACTGTAATATAACTATAATTTAGTTTGCCGGGAGTCTTCTTTTTTCCTATGAGTGTTTATTTACACCAAGTGCAAATAGCCCACCTTTTTGTCAGAGGCTATTTACACTAACTCCGCCCACTATTGTCTAATTGAGCCTGACAAAATCCCAACAGAACTCCTGCTGATAACAGGAGCAGTGGTGTGGAGAGTGAGGTGGGTGGCGTTAGCTTTTGATGAATCTGCCTTTTACGAACACATTCTTCTCCGTTTTCCCATCACATATCAGGTCGGAGAAGCATTTATTTTAAATAAAGATTACGGAAATATTCAAAAAGTGGAAATAAAGTGCCTAACAGCTAGGTATTTAATAGTGTGAATAAAGTGATTATCTGATAAAGTTAGGAGTAGGTGGAGGGTAGTCAAGTGTACTTTTTGTTTTTATCATACAGCCAACCTTGTTCTGTTTTTGTTTAATCAAGTTTTAGTCGACAAAATGTCTGAGCATTTTAGTCAATGAAAACCTAGTCACATTTTTGTCATGCTGCATAATGGTAAAATGATAATCCTGATTATTTTGCTCAAAAATATAATTACGATTGTTGTCAAAGGTAGCGCAAGGGCATTTATTTAACAACCACAATCGCAAATATAGTCGAGATCTATGTTTGGGTTTATTACAGTTTATCACTGAGAAGGTTTGATCGCAGATTTAGTCGCAGCAACAAAGACTGACTGGATGACACTTTTTATTTAAGCAGAACATCTCATTGGAGATTGATAAACTCCAGCTTACTTGTTTGTCGGTTTTCAGGTTATCCGCGCTCGGTTGCCAGATTGCAAAGATTAAGCAAAAACTTTGTTCTTTCAAACAGAAAAGCTTTGAATGGGGGAATTCAATTCTTGAAATCTGGCAACTGCAAGCATGAAAGCATTTTTTTTTTTTTTACAAAAACAGTGATTTTGGTCAAGTTTTTTTTAACTTTGTTTAATTTACACCTAGTGTAGGGTAGAACTTTCAAGACCGAGACAAGTAATGTCTCAATAAGATGGCATCCATTTATGATTTTAATAAGTATAATCATATACGCTGAAAATGTTGTTTTTATTGCATACTGTTTAATAAAATACCACAATACACTGAGGTGGCAAATAGTGTCTGTGTAAATAGCATTTAACATTATTTGCGCTTAGTGCAAAGAAAATACTTTTTTGTTAATGCAAATGATCACAATGCAAATAGCCGCTGTCTTATTTGAATGTATGTTTCAGTTAGTTATAAATGTTATCTTAAACTTATAATAAATCTAAATGCTTAACTTAAAAAAAATCATAATTACTGCATGAAAATGTTTTTACGAACAAATGTTAACACACAGTTAGTGAATGAGACCCACTGTCACAAGATATAATGCCGTCACTCACGTTAGCTCATCCATGCTTTGAAAGTCATCAGGACGTTGAACACAACAGTCTTCAGAAAGAGAATTCTCAGCCAAAAGAGGCCCAGTGACAAGAAGTTGATTTTTTCATCTACAGAAATAAAAATACAATTAGTATGTCTTTAGGGTTTACGATGTATTTTGCACAATCCAGCATGTACGATCCAGCCCTTTTATCCAGTTTTCAAATGTGTTTAATGTTTATTAAAATGATAGTAGCCTTACAATCTGAAATATATGGGAGTCTAATTAAAAAATACAGTAAAAAAAAAAGGAAAACACTTACCTTTTTCTATATCACCACTTTCACTGGATGATCCTCTACAGCTGTCTGAATGTGAAATAAAGTAGATTAATCTAATGCAACCAAATATTTTAGGAAGACTTTTTTTTATTGTATGTGGTAATTCCTACCTTTTTCTTGGCAGTCGTCTCCACCTCCAAAGGCAAAGTTACTGTAGTAGTTTTGGTAATCTTTGCCTGAATATCTCACTGTAGCGTGACTGGAATTTACAGCTGAATGGTCCGTGAAGTCAGTCGCCAGACACGAGTCTTGAAGTTTGTAAAATTCTGGATCTTTTTTTTGTTCTGTAAAAATATAAGAAAAAAAAATTCAAACACATTAGTTTCACAAACATGAAGTATGTGTTTGATGCAGACAAAAATGTGCAAATTACATTTCGTCATATGTGTCACAGCTTTTATGGCAGCTTTACTGGATTAGAAAGTACATTCGCTGACAATAAACATTGTAATTGTATATATGTGAAAAGCATTTTCAATTGATTTCATTTTTTTCCAGACAGACATTTCAAATTAAAATGGAAAACAATATTATTGACGATTCAATGAATAGAATATAGAATAGAATAGTATATTTGCCTAAAATCAATGACACCAAAGTCCTTATACTTAATACACATTTAAAATATTGATAATGTGACAAATTCTCACCCCATACTTCAAAAGTTATAACTGATTTTTCTAGGCCCACAGGCTGATACCTCATCTCAAAAACTCATTCAGTCTTTCAATATGTAAACCAGTAGTTTATTATATATTATGAAATGTAAATTTCACATTAACAATATAACACTGTATCGGAAAACATATATTTAAGATATTTTTAGCGCATAGGACTGTCTAGCTTTGTGTTAGTTGAATTTATACCACAATGATCAAAAGGCCAACATAAATCAACTTAAACATGGAAACTTACAGTTTCCATGTTTAATCTTATTCAAGATCCAAACTCTTACTGACCTGATCTAGCTTGGGTAATACAATGCTTTTAGCAATTATGCTGAGATGTAGATTTGGCTTTTAATTGCATCAACACAATTCGCCTAATGAATAGACTACTTCATAATGGTATGGTAATATATTCTCCATCATATAATATTTAAATGTAACCACAATAAATACGAAATTTCAGGCTTAAACTCTAAATTGCTTTTTTTTTAATGATTATACTGTATTTCTGTATTTCATTCTTTCTTTATTTGCTGTAATGGGTAACAATTACAATTCCTGCTACACTTTTATTATTAGAATCTTCTGCCATTCCAGACCATGTTTAAGTTAAACTCGAATAAATGTCAATTAAATGTAACACTTGTTTAAACTGGAAAATCCATGTGAAAAATCTTTTTTAATTAGCATTACTAAAATTAAGTTGTACTTAAATTATAACAAAAAAAATATTTAAAAAGATATAATGTAGTAGATTCTTATCCATAGGTTGCTACTTACTTGGGTGCACAGATAAGCGTGTCCCTTTCCCAAATATGATTTTGTTAGCAATGTTAGTCACACAATGATTAGCACACATATCATAACATGTGGCCAAAATTACACATGCTTGATGCTCTATCTATACTATACGTACTATAGTTCCTAACAAAATCAAAACAATATCAAATTTAGTTTATTTTAGAATACAAAAGATTTGATAGTCAGCCTTTTTAGACACTTATTAAACTAACCAACTCAAAAGATGTTTAAATATCTACTCAGTAGTGCTAAAAAAAGAAATCGAATATAGTCTTCGATCATTACATGACGAAATATGTGCCATTAAGATTAGAAAGTACATTTTTACTAAAAGTTAATACTAGAATTATGAATCTAGGCTGTCAAATGTGCAGCTGATTGATTATAATGCTGATCATTTTATTTCAATTTCTCAATTTAGCTATTTCGCCACATAAATCACTGAATTTATGAAACATGATTAAGAGTTACTACCAAAGATTACTTGGTAAATCATTAATTGTTGTTCATTCAGCGTGTTCAGATTATTTTAAAATGTTGTTTTAAGGAGTGACCTTACATATTTAGGTATGAAAGTAAAATCAAACCTCTCTTTGTTCTTTATCTAACTCTATTTTTAAATACCCAATCAATCCGGACAGTTACACAACATTATCAGAATTCTTTGGTTAAAATATATTATTCTCTTACTTGATTGTACTGTTAATTGTGTCCCTCCTCCAAAGACTATTTTAACAGTAGAAGTCACACAGATTGATATATCAGTACAAAAACCATTTGGATGGTATATTGGATAAAATAGTTAAAACAAAGTAATTATAAATTTCCAATAATATCTGTAAGACATAGATATGGATAGTATCCTTAAATGAAAGATTTGTACTACTGTACTAATGATTCTTATTACTGCAATTTATTTAGCTAATTATTTATAGCAATTCTTTATTTAATTTATTTAGGCATAAACATCTGGTGTAAAAATCATATTATTACATATTTATTTGTAGTACTGTGTGACAAAGGTGGAAACTCATGTAGTTTTGTTTAAAGCTCACTATTAAATTACTTAATTCCTTATTTCATTGTTTTTAATCTGATGTTCAGATGAATTATTTTCAAACAAAAGTAAGGGTTTTACTTACTTCTCTGTACGAACAACTGAGTTCCCTTCGCAAATATAATTTTGCCAAAGTTGTCAGTCACACAGTGACTGTCAGTGTTATAAATACTTCAATAAACAGCAATATAAAACTTCAGTGTTCATTTAAATTGTTAGAGCCACTCAGTAATGCAGTTAAAATATTTGTGGCAAATTAATAATTGCATTGATTCATGTTTTTAGAAAACTTAAATAAATATTGTAAATAAATAAAAGGAGCTTTGAAAATCGCATATATAAGTCTACTTGTCCTATCGGTGGATTAGTGAAAAGTGATGACATGAATTTGATATTACATTAAATTCTATTAATAATTAATCACTGATGTCTGTGAATGAATTGGGTTTTAAAAACATATGAACACGTCTGATCATTTGGTGGTACTATAAATTTAATACTAAACTTCACTACTCATGACACTAAAATTAGATTCCAAGTCCTATGAAAATAATATGCTATTATTATATTATAATATTTGAATGGTTATACTCACTTGCTTGTACATAGAGTTGTGTCCCCTTCCCAAATAATACTTTACCAATATTGTTATTCACACAGTGGTTAGTAGTGGGATAATAACTTCCATGAGTAGCAGGGACAACCTCCATCATGTTAGATTTAACATCAACTTAACTATAACGTTTTTCTTCTACATTAAAGGGATATATAAAGAATAAAAAGTGCAACTTTTATATAAATGTGCATCCTATAAAGTACTTTAGATACACATACACATCTGTCTCTTTAATGTCCTCAACGTTTATGGACCGGCCATCTTTTAATGTGCTTGACAAATGAATATATACTGAATATATTGACCAATTAGTGAAAAAAGATCAAAACAACTTACTGGAATTTATTATTATTTTGGTCCCTGCCCCAAATATGACTTTGTTGTTGAACCCAGTATTCACACAATGGTTTTCTCTTGCACTTTTATCCTTTTTACTCAAGGCCCATTATATTTGTCAGTTTACTTTTTGGTTTAGTAACACCAAAGTCCAACATCACTGAACAGAATTGTTTGACATGATACATCTATTGTAATGCATTTTGACTAAAGTAATTCTACATTTAAAATACAATCAAAGTCACACTTGGTTGATGTAATAATGAGTTTACACAATACATTATCCTTGAATTAAAGATTCTTATGGTACCATGCTTAAATGATTTAGTCCAATTAATTGGACTACTGTGACAAAGGTGGACAATGTAGTTCTCATGATTTCCTTATTTTGTTTTTTAATCTGATGTACAGATGAATTATTTTCAAACAAAAGTAAGGTTTTACTTACTTGTCTGTACGAACAACTGAGTTCCCTTCGCAAATAACATTTTGTCAAAGTTGTTAGTCACACAGTGACTGTTAGTGTTATAAATACTTCAAGAAACGGCAAGTCAAAACTTCAGTGTTCATTTTGATGTCAGAGCCACTCGGTAATGCAGTTAAAATATTTGTGTCAAATTAATAATTGCATAGATTAAATTTTTTTGAAAACTGAAATAAATATTGTAAATAAATAAAAAACCTGTGCAAATCTCATGTACAAGTCTACCTGTCCTATCGGTGGATTAGTGAAAAGAGCTTGAGTAATATCAATTAGAGTTAACTTTAAATAACTGAATCCATAACTTACTGGATAACACAATGAGCTGAGTCCCTTGCCCAAAGATCAGTTTGTCTCTATTTTGAGTCACACAACTACAAAGCTCAACACAGAAATACATTGGATACTCTTTCCTCTGATCGGTATAAAGGATAAGAGTTTTGTAATTTGACATTACAGTAAATTCTATTAAGAATAAGATTAATAACTAATGTCTGTGGATGAAGTGGGTTTTAAAATGTCTAATATTTATTGGAACAGTAAATGTAATATTAAATTTCACTAAACATACACTTCTGTCTCTTTAATGTCCTCAACATTTTTGGAGCGGCCATCTTTCAATGTGCTTGACAAATAAATATATTCTGAATATACAGAACAACTAGTAATGAAGATAAAACTTACTGGAATTTATTATTATTTTGGTGCCTGGCCCAAATATGACTGTTGTTGAGCCCAGAATTGACCAAATGGTTTTGATTGGCATTTTATCCTTTTATATTTGTCAGTTTTCTTTTTTTGGTTTAGTTAGCCCAAAGTCCAACATCACTGAACATAAGTTTTTGATAGTTTACATGATAAATCTAATGTAATGCATTGTGTTTACATTGTGACATGTCATTCTCATTTGGTCATGTTTGGTTGATGAAATAATAGGTTTATCACAGAATGAATGTAATACTAAGATTAAAGTACAACTTACTGGTTAGTACAAGAAGTTTTGTTCCCATCCCAAAGAAAAGTTTTTGTCCAGCATTCACACAGCCATTGGCCATATACTAAAAACTAGCAATATCCTGATATCATAAACACTGCAAGCTATTCTGTCACAATCGCTCTTAAATAAGATTCAGTGTGAAAACTTTAAAAAAGGAATGACATCCATTTATATCAAAGTTTAGTGGTAGAATAAAAATCTGTTTTTAAAATATGTTTCAAAGACAAAAGAAGAGTTGATGTTTCTATAGTTAACAACAAGCAGTAAGTTTTGAATGTATTTATCTGGGAAATAAGGATATTACAAGAAAAAATTATGATCAGGAGATCACTGTTAATGTATTGTTCTAATCATAAAAAGTGCATATTTCATAAAAAGCTATGCGATATTTGAGAGAACTGAGCCGCACTTACTTGAAAACACAGTTAGTTTAGTGCCTTTTCCAAATATAATTTTGTATCCGCCTTGATTCACACAGCTGTTGACCATAAACACATAACTGCTGCTGAACAAATAATCATCCTGGATAAGGTGTTTTCATTTCTTCAAATGGGATAAACGTGATAATTATCATCTAAACTCTAATTTAGAAATAATTTAACTAATGTATCAGTTAAATGTCAGCTTTATTCCAAAGATTGTATTGATGCTGTTTGGATGTACTAATATATGGCTATTGTTGATGTTACATAAATTGATGATGCCAAAGAGTTGTATTATGGTTAAGAGGAGGGAAATCCAAAGAACTTGTTAATTTGTTCTTTTTACATGCAATCTACACAGTATATGAGATTATTAAAATAAAAAAACGTTTAAACTCCACTCTCAAGTCTGTTTTTTCCAAAGCCTTGCACATCACAATTATCTGATCTACTCATATTTTACAGTAATAGTAATTTTCCACTATACTCTTTTAAAAAAAAATAGAAAATTATATGATAATGTCTGTAAGAATATTTAGAAAATGAAAGAAAACCTATCATCACGAACATATCTATTGCATGAAATCTAATTGTTTTCATGCAGCAGTTTAATAAAATATTTTAAGTAAAATAAATGAGTGATTATTACAATTTTAGAGATAAAACTTACTTGCTTGTACTATAAGTTTGGTCCCCTTGCCAAAGAACATCTTAAATTGATTAGTCACACAGCTATCGACTCTGTACCAAAAACCAGTCCTGTACATGGATTCTATGTCTTTCAGTCTTTAAAAAATTACTTTAAAGATCATACATGATAAATATTTACTACTATTATCATGATGCTAAGAATTAGAACTAAATTTGCTCAGCAGTGTTTGATTTTGTTCACGAGTCCACCTTGTCGAGTCCGAGTCCAGTCTAAGCACTTAACCAATTGAGTTTGAGTGAGAGATGTTTCTTAATGTATTTATATCTTAATTGTATGTCGTTACTCATTTTTCCTTCATGTTACACATGATGTGAATTCGACTGTACTCGGAAAGTCTCTAAAATCTAAAATATATCAATGTATCAGTCAAATTAATAATTAAATTACATGAAATAAAAAAAAGCTGTGCAAATCTCATGTACAAGTCTACCTGTTCAATCAGTGGATTAGTGAAAAGAGATTGAGTAATATCAATTAGAGTAAACTTTAAATAACTGAATCCATAACTTACTGGATAACACAATGAGCTGAGTCCCTTGCCCAAAGATCAGTTTGTCTCTATTTTGAGTCACACAACTACAAAGCTCAACACAGAAATACATTGGATACTCTTTCCTCTGATCGGTATAAAGGATAAGAGTTTTGTAATTTGACATTACAGTAAATTCTATTAAGAATTAGATTAATAACTAATGTATGTGGATGAAGTGGGTTTTAAAAACATCTTATGAAAATGTCTGATATTTGGTGGAAGAGTATTTAATGTTAAATTTCACTACACATACACTTCTGTCTCTTCAATGTCCTCAACATTTTTAGAGCGGCCATCTTTTAATGTGCTTGACAATTGAATATATACTGAATATACTGAACAACTAGTAATAAAGATCAAACTTACTGGAATTTATTATTATTTTGGTGCCTGCCCCAAATATGACTGTTGTTGAGCCCAGAATTGACAAAATGGTTTTGATTGGCATTTTTATCCTTTTATATTTGTCAATTTTCTTTTCTTTATGGTTTAGTTAGGCCAAAGTCCAACATCACTGAACAGAAGTATTTGATAGTTTACATGATAAATCTATTGTAATGCATTTTGTTTACATTGTGACATGTCATTCTCATTTGGTCATGTTTGGTTGATGAAATAATAGGTTTATCACAGAATAAATGTAATACTAAGATTAAAGTACAACTTACTGCTTTGTACAAGAAGTTTTGTTCCCATCCCAAAAAAAAGTTTTTGTCCAGCATTCACACAGCCATTGGCCATATACTAAAAACTAGCAATATCCTGATATCATAAACACTGCAAGCTATTCTGTCACAATCGCTCTTAAATATAAGATTCAGTGTGAAAACTTAAAAGAAGGAATGACATCCATTTATATCAAAGTTTAGTGGTAGAATAAAAATCTGTTTTTAACTGTTATGTTTCAAAAAGAAGAGTTGATGTTCCTAAAGTTAACAACAAGCACATACTAATTTCATGTCAAGTGAACTTCTAATATTATACTCATCTATATTATCCTCATAATAGCATTCTATTATAGTAACATTTTAAAATATCTAAATTAACATTGTTAAGCAATGCCACCCGTTAAATACCAAATAAAAGCCCTACAATAATATGGACTTATGATCTTTTGAAAAGGCAATTAACTCACTTGAAGTAATTGTTAGTTTGGTGCCTGTCCCAAATATGATCTTGGTGCCTCCAGGATTCACACATCAGTAAAGCACAGGACGTTTATTCTAAGGTCAATGTGGACTGTTGTAGGGTGGATACATTTATATTAAATTCATTTTTGAGATATTATTCATTTCTACAAATAAAAAAAAAATACAGACTAAAGCCTTATAAAATTCTGTTGAGTTCTTTGATTTTATGTTGACAGTATGTTTTTGGTGGTTTTTGTTTGTATTTGTTTTTTTGCATAATTAAAATGGCAATACATTAGTTGTGTTTACTAGCAGTCTTATCTGAAATACTTCTACATTACATTATTTGCTTTTCTATAACATAAATATGAGATAACTAGCATTTTTAAATAAACATTTTATGCATACAATTAAATATTGGTACGAATATTGGATATTGTAACTTACTTGACTGTACAATGAGTTTTGTTCCTTTGCCAAATAACATTCTAATTTGATC